CGAAGATAAAATGCCAAACATACACAAAATATCAATAAATACACACACCTGTACACACCCCACAATATATATAATTTTAACAATTATACAACCTATAATTTTAAAACTTCATACAATATTAAAATACAATCCAAGATCCCACAACCCTCCCACCCCTTAAGAGATAATTAAACAATTTTAACATTAAAACAAGATGGTTAATACACATAATTAAAAACAATCCATAGACAAACAAACAAATAGTAGGCAGGGCAGTAATTGTAGCCGAAATAAAGGAGGGATAAGGGGACTCCTGAGGCCAGAGAATATAAACAGGGAAGGCCTGCCGGAAGAGATCCGTCTTAACAGCCTTTTTAAAGCTGCTTAAAGTTGTCAAATGACAGATCTCATCCAGCAGGCCATTCCATAATTTGGGAGCGGTGGCTGTAACGGATTCCTCCCAGAGGGCCAGAGTGTGCGGGGAGGATTATATGGGAAGAGGCGGTCCCGAAGATAAAATGCCAAACATACACAAAATATCAATAAATACACACACATGTACACACCCCACAATATATATAATTTTAACAATTATACAACCTATAGAGTTAAAACCATTTCAAATTTATTAAGAGACGGAATATTTTTAAAAATCAACAAAACATCACACCATTAAAAGTCCATCACAACCAGTTCTTTAAAAGCCTGATGGAGTAGGGAAGTTTTTACTTCTTGGCAGAAGAAGAGCAAGGAGGGAGCAAATCTTGCCTTCTTGGGGAGAAGTCTAAGAGCAGCCACCAAGAAGGCTCTCTTCCTTGTTCCCACCAACCTGGCAGTGAAACAGAAAGAAGGGCCACCTTCAGACCCGAGCCTTATAGACTTTATGCGTCATTACTAGCACTTTGAATTGTGCCTAGAAGCAGACTGGAAACCAGTGAAGCAGCTGTAATAAGGAATTTTCTATGCTTCCTGCAGCCAACCCCAGATAACAATCTGAAGGCAGCTCTTTTTGCCAACTTCTGAGGACGTAGGGTGCATTACAGTAATCAAACATGAGTAACCAAGACATATGTCACCGTGACCAGATCAGATATCGCCAGTAACAGGCACAGCCGGCACACTCGCTTCACTACCTTCAACTATGGAAATGCACTCCTGGTCATCACTGAAATCTGGGCCTCCAAGGTGAGCTCAAATTCCAAACCTGCATCTTCGGTGGGAGTGTAATCCCATCCACCATGGCTGAGTCCCTATTCCCAGATCTGTCTTTCAGCTGAGCAAGAGCACCACTGGTTTGTTTGGATTAAGACTCAATTTGTTCACCCTCATCCTCTCCATTGCCTACACCAGGCACAGGGTTAGCACAGAAACAGTTTCTTTGGAATTAGGTGGAAAGAGCTACCGTAATATTTTTTACTTTTTTAAAAGCATACCCTGTACCCATGTAAGCTTATGACAAGTGAAACAATTTGTGAAACTTTAAAAAGATCTTTGAGTATGGGCATAATAAATACTCTGTGTGTGTATGTGTGTGATAAGTAGCAAGGAGCTTATCGTACTACCTTTAAAACACATTAAAAAGAGACTTACCTCTCCTGAATTGAAGTAAAATTCAGGCTGCATTTGGATGCTATTGCACCGATTTCCCCCCAAAAAACACCATTCAAATGCAGCCTGAATTCAGCTAGGCTGACTTAACTCGCTCCAGCGGCCGTTTTTCAAATTTGGCCACCGGAGCGTTAAGTCAGCCTGGCTGAATTCGGGCTGCATTCAGATGGTGGTTTTTTGGGGGAAATCCGTATGACAGCATCCGGATGCAGCATGAATTTTATTTCAATTCAGGCGAGGTTAAGTCTCTTTTTAATGCGTTTTAAAGACAGTGCGATAATCTGCCAAGATAATGTATTTCTATCTGGCAAACAGAGTTCCTCACATTCTGGACAACAAGCTCTTATATATATATAAAATACACAAAAATATATATTTTAAAACTATAGTCCCATATGATGAGACAACAGCTCATGTGATTAACCAGAAAGGTGGCAGACAAGTAGAGCACTAATTCTAACTCCCCTAGAGATATATGTAATGGATTTCACTAATCCAACAAATTCCTCTGGGGATATTTGTGATGGATTTCCCACTCAAACTATTTTAACTATTTATAAAGATGGTTAACAACTGAGAAAGATTCTATTTTAACTATTTATAAAGATGGTTAACAACTGAGAAAGATTCTGAAACCAAGAGATCCAATGCACAAAATCCCATACGTCTTGAACCTAATTTTAAATGTTTCTACCACTCAGTACTTGTGTGAGAAAGAATTTTACAATTTCACTACAGAGAAAAGGAACAAGAAATGTGTTTCTATCATAGCCCTTAGATCAGGGACCGGCAACCTTTTTGAGACCTGGGCTGGTCTCCACT